CAGATCCAGGTCCAGGCAAAGGACCAGGGCTCTCCGAGTCTCAGCAGCAACGCCACAGTCCATGTTTTTATCCTGGACCAGAACGATAACGCCCCCGCTGTGATTTACCCCTCCTCCGCTGCCCTGGGCTCCCTCTCTCATCAGAGGATGCCCCGCTCCGCTAAAGCAGGTCACCTGGTTACCAAGGTGACGGCCGTGGATGCTGACTCGGGCCATAACGCCTGGATCTCCTACAGACTGGCGGAGGCCACAGACGCCTCTCTGTTCACTGTCAGTCAGTACACAGGGGAGGTGAGGACTAAACGCGCTGTGTCCGAGCAGGACGAGTCCTCTCAGAGGCTGCTCATAGAGGTCAAGGACGACGGAGAACCGCTTCAGTCCGCCACCGTCACGGTGTCCATCGTGCTGGAGGACGGGCTGCACGAGCCCATCTTAGAGCTCCGACACAAAGCGTCCGAGCCCAGCAGGAAAACGGGCAGAATCACCCTTTACCTGATCCTGTCTCTGGCCTCGGTGTCCGTGCTGTCTCTGGTGACTTTTCTCATCTTGGCGGTTAAATGCATGAGGAACAGCAGAAGCAGCGGGAGCTGCTGCATGACACGGAGCGACTGTGATGATTACAAGAAGAACAGGAACCTGCAGATCCAGCTCAACACTGATGGACCCATAAAGTACGTGGAGGTCCTGGGAGGAGACGTGATGTCTCAGAGTCAGTCGTTCAGGTCCTGCATGTCTCCCATGTCAGAGTACAGTGACTTCACTCTCATTAAACCCAGCAGCACCACAGACTTTAAAGAAGTCATCAGTGTTCTGGATGCGTCTTTACCCGACAGCACCTGGACCTTTGAGAGCCAGCAGGTGAGGAAGTTATAATATATATATATATATAATGCAAATACAAAAGTATTAGTAAATATTAATCTAACTATTTATGGTATTGTATAATTTCACAGACCTTTTAGCGTATTTTTGTAACAATATAACTGAATCGTTTTTTGTTTTTTTTCAACACTTGAACAGCTGTGTTGACGGAAGCATTACTTTTTAGCACCCGCTCGAATATTATCAGCCATTAAATTGTTGTTTTTAGTTGTTATCATCTCCATATGTAGCGGTCAGACTGCCCATCCTGTGCCTTTTAGTGGGTTTAAAGAGACGTTGTTAGTGGTGATAATAGGCTCCGTTTTTACTTTTGTTAGCGCTCATAGCTTCGCGTGGTTAGGTTTAGAGTAAAAGGTCTGGCGGTTAGGTTTAGGCACAAGGGTAAGGGGGTGAAGTTTAGGGGTGGTCCTCTGGGTCAGGTGTAAGGTTAGGTTTACGAAAAAGGTTACATAAGCTAAAAAAAAAAAAAAAAAAAAAAACATTTCCTGGTTTACCCCGGTGCGACGTTGCCTGTTATCAACGATAATAACGAAAATAACGTACCTTTAAACCTACTAGGACGTAGGTGGGACAGTCTCACGCTACAAATGGGGATGATAACAACTAATAACGGCCTTTTAATGGGCTGGTAACACCCGAAGCCGCTCTTTTTTAGTTTTAACCAGATGTTTCAGCACCTTCTTTTCGGACAGCGACTTGTAGAATCACTATTTTCAGGTTGTTTTACCTCAAACTTTTTAACAATAAAAGGTAAAAACACTGGTTTACACATTCTACGTTTTTTTGTATGTTCTGTTTATTTATTTATTTGTTTTTGTAAAAACACGTCATTTTAAACGTTTTTCTGTGATATAATGTCACAAAATACACTTTTTTATTCAAAGACGTATTTTTTTTTTATTATTTGCATTTTTCAGCTGAATAATTTGAAAGTTGGATAAATCTATTATCTGATAAAAACACCGCAGTTTAAAGCTCAACTCACTGAGCGCTGTCTCTTTAAGGACGATGATCAGCGCCTTTCTCACTGGGTGTTCAGTGGTGATGCTGAGCTCCAATAAGAACTGGAACTGTACAAAGAAATCTAGTCCCTGCCCCCACGCAGCTACCGCGCTCTGTCAGAGTGAACTGAGCTGACGCAGAGCAAGCATTAGGTTCAACGATTTAAACATGTAATTTATTTCAGAGGTATGCTCCGACTGTTTATTATTTTATGAGAGATGGGGAGTTTTCATCTGCCATGGGTCCAGACCTTGTTATAAACAGGATTTCGATGGATTTTAACACTAAATAGTGGATCGAGGATGACAAAGAGAAAAGGATACAGAGACTGGAGGTGGCTCGCGCTCTGGTGGCATCATGTCTTCCTCCTGTGGAGAACAATAGACGGACAGACGCGTTACAGCATCCCGGAGGAACTAAAGCAGGGCTCCGTGGTTGGAAATCTCGCCAAAGATCTGGGTTTGTCTTCATCTGAGATGTTTGACCGTAAGCTGCGCGTCGCCTCTGAGGCTGGGGAGCAGTATTTCAGAGTGGACGCGGGGACGGGCGAGCTGCTGGTGAATGACAGGATAGACAGAGAGGCTTTATGTGGACAAAGCGCCAGCTGCGTTCTGCCTCTGCAAGTGGTCGTTGAAAACCCTTTGCAGTCTCACCGAATTGAAGTGGAGATAAGAGACATTAACGACAACTCTCCGACGTTTATGACGCAGGAGATTAACCTGAAAATACCTGAATTTGTAGCTCTGGGTAAACGCTTTCCGTTAGAAAACGCAGAGGACGCTGATGTTGGAAGTAACTCTTTAAAAACGTACTCTTTGAGCAAAAATGATCATTTTTCTCTTAAGCTCAAAGAAACAAAAAATGGCAAATTCGTCCCAGAATTAGTGTTAGAGAAATCTTTAGACCGAGAGAAAAATGCTCAACATCAGCTCTTATTAACAGCATTAGATGGAGGAAACCCCGTTACTTCCGGGACATGTAAGATCATCATTACTGTTCTTGACATTAACGATAATTTTCCTGTTTTCAGTGAAAATGAATACAAAGTTTCTTTAAAAGAGAACAGCACTAAAGGAACATTTGTTATTAAGCTCACAGCTTCAGATGCTGATGAAGGTCCTAACGCAGAAATCAAATATTATTTTGGCTCTCGCACTCCAGACTCTGTGTTAACAACGTTTGAAATAAACGACCTGACTGGAGAAATAGTATTAAAGGGATCTCTAGATTATGAAACGAGTAAATCATACCTCATCGATGTAACTGCTAAAGACAAAGGGACTCCTGAAATGGAGGGTCACTGTCGCGTGCAGGTGGACTTAGAAGACGTAAATGATAATGCCCCAGAGATTGTGCTCACTTCTAAACCCAGTGCTGTGCGCGAGGACGCACCCAGCGGGACCGTAGTGGCTCTGATCAGTGCGCGAGACCTGGACTCGAGTGATAACGGTAAAGTGATGTTACAGCTTCCTAAAGGTTTTCCTTTCACCTTGAAGCCTTCGTTTTCTAATAATTACGAGCTGCTCACCAACGGCCCATTAGACAGAGAGAAGATGTCACAGTATGATATGGAGATAACAGCAACTGATTCAGGCTCTCCTCGACTTTCTAGTAGCAAAATAATACCAGTCACCATCACTGATGTGAATGATAACCCTCCTGTGTTCACGCAGCCCTCCTATAATGTATATCTAAAGGAGAACGGAGTACCAGGGTCTATCCTGTTCTCAGTTTCAGCTTCTGATGTGGATTCTGGTGAAAACGCAAAGATCTCTTACTCCATCCTGGACTCTAAAGTGCAGGACGTTTCTGTCTCATCTTATGTTTACATGAACTCAGAGAACGGCAGCATCTACAGCATGCACTCGTTCGACTATGAGAAGCTGAAGGTGTTTCAGATCCAGGTCCAGGCAAAGGACCAGGGCTCTCCGAGTCTCAGCAG